TCTATCTATCTATCTATCTATCTATCTATCTATCTATCTATCTATCTGTTTTTAATATTTGTGTTATTTTAGTTTACATTATTTTAGTTTAAATATCTTGTTAAAATTGTTTTTTTTTAAATAAAAAAATTGAATTAAATTAAATATCTTGTTACCTTGTTGCATCACAATGAAATTTTTGTATCAGTAGTACTTTAATGTTTTTTTTAGAATGTTTGTTATAATTATTTATCTCAATACGTCACATTTAGCAATATTTTCTATTCTAAAAAAAGAATAACTCAACCAAAAAACACATGACTGTTTCTCAGAAAGACTTTCTTGACAGTAGTGATTTAGTTTGATACAAATTAAGCTCTTGACACCCATACAAAGAGCCAAAAAGGTTCTTAATCGTTTGTGCATGGTTATGTTTTAATCTCTGTTTGCATGGCTAGCTATATTTGTGTCAGTGGTTGTATATCTATACTTCTCTCTTTCAATTCCAAAGAAAAGGGTGACGTTGAGAAATCCTGCTCTGAAGGGTGACAATATTTTTCTTTGTATTGACACTGCGTCAATACAAAGAAAAATCTTGTCATCATTTGTCTAACGGTAAACTAATACAGTAATTTTGCTCATCACCTGATGTGTTAAACAGTGGTTTTTAACCATTGGCTCATGCAGGGATGTCTCATTTCCTGTTTCTTGCCCCTAATTTAAACTAACTGTCAGTATTTCATCTCTACAGAGAAAACTACACCCTTAGTGTGAGATAACTCAAATAAATTAAAAAATTAAATGTCAAATGATGCTTTCTTACGTTTGGTGGTAGTATTTACTTGTGGTTTCCCAACAAGCCACTAAAACAGCTCCGTGCACAGCCATGTCATAAATATCACACAAATCTTTGGAATTTTCCAATAAAGAAGATGATGGAGAGAACCATCTTATCAGTATAATACTTTATCCGCTGACATTTTAATCAGTATTAAGCTAGGTCTCTGAAAAGCCTCCAGCTGATTTGATATGCTATCATTAAATGCTACCTCTCTTTATTTCAGAATCAGCTTTAAAAATCCTCTCCACACTAATAAAGCTCTTAACGTTCCAACTCAATCGCACCTTAAAGTACTAAAAGTTTGACATTTAACAAAGCATTTCACTTAGACCACATTTCTGCTTGTGGTTCTTACAGTTTCTAAAAGTAGAATTGCAAGCTGGCCTGTCAGTTATTAGGCCCCTCTTGAGTTGAGAAAGCAGACATCTTCTCCGCCTTTGAAATAGCATAAAAACATTCATTGAGTGTCACTTTTAACCCGGGCTTCTCAGTTAACCCTTTAAAGCCTGATCCAAGAAATATAGGAAGAATATTGGATTTTTAAAAGTCTGAAGTCTCTCTTTTGCCCCGTCAACAACGTATGAAGAAAAAAAAGCAGAAATTATTTTGATCAAGTTAGCGTCCAATAAGTCAAAAATATATTTTGGTGTAGTCTTCTACTGGCTGTTATCAGGTATATCTGAATGTGTACAACAGGGGTTTGAGCAAAGCTTTTACCATTGAATGACGCAAAAAGTCTCAGATCCAAAAGACTTCAATAACCGTATCAAATATGATACATTTGGCAATATAGTGTTAAAAGACTTAAGCTTTCCCTTTGTATTCATTTCAGATTCAATTAACCAATTGATAATCCATTTGAAAAGTCTAACTATAACTGTAAAGAGCGAGCCTCTCTATTCTGTTGTTAGTCACAACCACACCTGATGACACAGCACTGGTTCTTTTTGTTGCGGCGCATGTTGAAAAAGCAGGCGTCCGCGATGGCGAAGACGTGGGGGGGCAGTTCGCCCAGCCGCCGGTCCGTGTACATGTGCACTTGCTCGGTGGTGTAGATGGGCAGCAGCTGGTAAGGGTTCACCGCCACCAGAATGGAGCCTGTGTATGTCTTAAAACAGACGAGATGTCAGCCATCGCACAACAGCACACTGAGCGTGCGTCTGTGAGCATAAACGAGTTATTATGCAGGACACACAGCGCAGGGCCAAATCGGCCCTCTTATTTGTGGCAGCGCTATTCTGTGGCTGTAAACATTTCACAGATTAGTCATAGTCATGAAAAAGTGCTCAATGCCAACACCGATCACATGATTGATAAGTGTTATAGACACTGACTGTGAAGTTAGCCTGCAGCATTTGTAAGTTTCGAAAACAGACAACTTTGTTGTATGTTTCTATTTTCCCTGTTTATTCTGAATGTCATGAAAGCCACAAAAAAGAAATATCACATGTTGAACTTTGGTTTCTTTAGACACATTGGAAATATATCTCTGTTTCAGTTGCTCAACAATTTGGGATGTCTGAAATCTAAAGAGTTTCCTAGATTATCTGAATCTTGAAAAAAAACTTTCAATGCAAATTATTTTCAAGTTATATTCAGCAGAGATATTTTCAAATTATACAGTATTGGGCCTTATGACAGTAGGTTGTCAGAACTTTTTCTAGTCTTTTCGGCTCTCATTTATGTATGAACACATTAATATATATACACATAAATCTATATGAAGCTCCCTTTTAAATACATAGAGCATCTGTCACGCACCCACTAATAAATTTATTGAGGATTGTATGGCACGTAGAGGGGTTAAAAAATTATGTTCCAACTTCTTTGACAGATGTTGCTGACCTTAAACTGACCGAGCACATTTAAAAACCAATAATCTTTAGTTTCAGCCTCTGAACAAACATAACTAAAGAAATCAGTACAAAATCATTTGTAAATTACAGCTTTTTTTACCTATCATTTTTCACAAAATGGCAATGAAAAAGATTATGATGGTTCATACCACACACTGGGACACTGTCTTTAAACTGAAGCATATTTGTTTCTATGGAAACAAATGGCTCTGTGATAAACCACAGGGCAAAGTCTTTTATCGGAGGGAGCGCACAGCGAGGAAGGCACAGGCAAGTGAGCAGTTCCACAGCGGGTTATGGATACCATAAAAACTAGGTGGTTCCGCAGTGACTCCGGGAAAATAGAAACTTACATAGATGAGGCCTTCTTTGTGTCGCACCAACAGGTTCCTGAGCAGCCCGGCCTCGTTGAGGTCACCCAGCCGTATCATGTCGTCCACACCTTTCACAGAGGTGGGGTGCATTGGCCGAATACTGCCCTCCATCTTTTTGCTGATCTTGTGCTCCTGCATGGTATTAAAGAAAGGCTATTACACGAACGGATGGAGTTATTTTTTTCGGGGTTGTTATAAAGGCAAATGGGCTCTGGCACCATACCTTTTCGCAGTCATCAATCAGCTTAAGCTGTCCTGTGTCCGTAACCTTTACTTCTGCCCCGATCGGCAGGACAGCATCGGTGTCCAGCCATACAAAATCCCCCTGGTTAAGGAAACCAGAAGTTGGAATATTAAGAAAAAGAAATGAAAAAGCTAAATGATTCTCGAGATGTCATTACATTATGACTAAAATTAATCACATATTAAGTAGACGACACATTCTTACCTTACTTAAATGCAACATGGTAGAAATGTGGAGGACTGAAAAGAAAGAAAAGACTGGTTGGGGTTAAATCTAACACAAAACGCAGGCTTGGCCAGGCCAGTACACTAAATTTCAGTATGTCTGTTTCCACAGATACAGATGTAGCTTTCTGTGTGCAATGGTATCCTATTAGAAGTCCTGTTTTAAATTAATCAAGTCTTTAAACAGCATATTATGCAGATGTTTGTCACAAATGCCACTTAAAACAGGATCCTTCAATCTTTGAAGGACTCCTACTAAAAACCGCCTCCATAATCTCATACAATTTATCTTCAGTTCACTGTTTTGTCGGTTCTTACCTGACAACTGCCTTTCCTTTTGTTGGAAGCTCGCGTCACTGCTAATAGAACTTTCCTTGAATGACTGCAAAGCAGGAAGGTTTCACAGCGTTGTCTGTTTTTATGGCCCTTTGACTTTGCTCCTACACAGGCAGAGCCATCCAGCGTCACCAACAACCAGGCTCACGTTTACGCCTATCGCTGCAGAGGATTCAGTGAAATTGCTTTCAGACACTGTTACCAATATACATCTCATACCAAAAAGTATTCTTTTTTAAAATAGTTTCAACAAGCAACATTAGAACAATATAAACTCTTCGAGTTTTATTGTCGCTAACAACATTAAAAACCAGATGTGGTGTTACTTTCGAGCTGAATAAAAAGTACCAGAAACATGTTGTTAGAAAACAGACTTAAAACTATATTAGAATGTATGTTTTGAGGAAAAATAGATACGGAATGCCAGTAACCTGCTTTTTTCCCCTCCATATACAGTTTCAGGTCAACTACTGCCAACGTGTTGCCATGTACTTCAAGGCAATTATGTTGTAAACAGTAGATAGCAAAGAGGAACATGTGGGCTTGGTGGAAACGGTAGAACGTGGATAAGACAGCTTCCATTAATCATAGAAGGTTGACGAAAGGCCAGACTAAGATGAATAAAGACAGCTTAGAAAGGGCATAAAGGTGGGCTTAAATACAAACTCCTTCCCCCGATTATTTAAGATTACGCAACATGGTTATTTCTGTCCTATAACTTCAAGTTTAATACAGTGAAGTGAGAGTTATCTAATCTAAGCCCACAGGTGTGGTCTGTTGATTCAGTTTGCTTCTCCACCCAAATGTGATATTGTTTCAGACCTTTTCACACATTGCCCGTTACCAACTAAGGTAAGCAAGCCCCAACGTGGAGCTTACCAAAAAATGGAACAGCTTGGGAGTGAAGGAGGATGTTTCTCTCTTTTCGTGGACAGGCTGTGACCAATATGTGAAAAATTTAGGCAACAACGATGGTAAAAACTATCTGAAAAAGTGAAATTTACAGCATATTTTCATCTTTAAGTATCTTTACTATAATTACACAGACATAACAATGTACAATGGGCTGCCAGATGTTTCAGGCTCGCTTCATCCTGCGTCATGGAAAATCATCACACTCCGCAGCACGAAATAACACGTCGGACACAGCACACAAATATTTGAGTACAAAAAAAAAAAAAAAACTTGTAAAAGAACCAGGTCAAATGGAAAACCAAAAGCACATTTACAGTGATTTACACTAATTTTATCTGCCCCCCCCGACCAAATGAGAATAGCTGACCAGTGGGCCTTCTATTGAAGCCGAAACAAAGCACAGTCATCACTGTCCTAACACCTATTTATCTTTTGGAGGATCAAACACAGCAGTTCAATATAAAGTTGATTTGGCATTCTGTCTTTCAAATCTAAGGATTCTTCGGGACTATTTTTTTTTTCCTACATTAAATCAGTCCGACATGCCACATTCAGATTCTCATTCATCTCAAAACCATGGGAGCACTTAGATTTTTGAGGTTAGGCATAGACTTGTGGCTGATAACAGCAACCGTGTACCCAAAGTAGACAGAGCAAATCAACAATTTTTTTTTACTTTTGATTAAAAAAAAAACAAAAAAACTTCTCCCCCTGCATTTTTTTTTTTTTTACATGTCTCTATTCAATTCATGTACACGTGACAAAATGAAGGCACAGACTGATGAAAAGAGCACAGCTGAGATTAGTTTGTACACAGTTAGTGAAAAGACTGATTTCCTCCATTTTTGGGGGTCATTCATAACGCAACGTTTAGTCTCTCTGACAGTATATGCCGAGTGCCGAAAATCATAGATAATGTTCCATCGTCATACTGTCTTAAAATAAGAGGCAGAAACTAAGTTAGTAAAAAATAACTTCGGGGGACTTTTAAAAAAAAAAAAGCATGGCCATCCAATAGGCCACAATAATACAACCTAAGAATACTTCACACTCAATATGTGCACTTTGTCATTAATGAGAACCTGTTTCTGAGGGACTTTTCTGCTCGTTGACGCTTCCCTGTGTGTCCTCTCCGTCCACTCTCCGGTGGACCGAGAAGGTGCATGCGATTGTATGCAGCAAATCATAGCACCAAAGTTCAAAGTAGCTCCTTCCCTCCGCTTCAAAAGAGGGCGACGAGGTGGTTGTTTGACGAGTGACAAACTCGTGCTCATGCCCGTTCTTTGCGCTTCAGTTTGGAGGACTTTTTGACGGCGCCGTTCTTATTGAGTAGCTTCAGCACTTTCTCTTTGTGGTCGAGCACTTTCATCATGGTGTCTCTGGCCTCGGTCACCTGGTCCATCACCAGCTTGCAGCGCTGCATGTTACCCTGAAAAGAAAAATGAGCTGCTTAATCCTTATCGAGTCGACAAAAAAACTGCCCAAAAAAAGGACGAAACGACTAAATATACGACAAAACATTACCCTCAAGGGTTAGCGTGCATATGTTGGTGAAACTATTATATGAATGGCGTTTGAATACATCCTAATTCACAATTATTTTGTTGGGCTGTTAAAACACCAAAGAAATTGTGATTGAAGTTTGTCCAATGAAAGAGTGGAAATCAGTTGTCAACATTTTAAGGTGGTATCTCTGCTCTAAATAAATCTGACTTCATAACACAGGGTCATCTGACTAAAAGAGTTTCCCAAAGTGAATAATCGAGCTGTGAATATAGCTTGGCTTGGCTCTACACATAAAAAGCACTTAGACTTGAATCTTGAGACGATAAATATTCATGGAAGTAATTCGTGGGAGTGCAATACTGCAAATTGTCCCGACAATAACTCCAGCTTTATTTCAGAGTTTAATCAAACTTGCTGTTGTGGAGCGATGGGCTGTTTGCAAGTGAACTTGAACAGTAAATTACAAAGCTGTGATATTTAGAAATTCTAAATGGGCATGCAATTTATTTTATATGAAAGAATATCAAACTATAACAAAAGGAAATTATAATTTAAGAGATAGGAAACCAACTTCATGATTCAAATGCGACAAGAAAGGCAGCCAGTGGATTGTAAATAAACTGTGGTGGAAAAAAACTAATAGAAAAATAAAGGGGCGAATTTTACTGGGCTTTTTACCCAACTAACAAGATGGTTTAGGCTAAATTTAGCATCAGTCTGCATCTTTGGCTCCCATCGGCACATATGTACGCTACCTGTATGAGCTCGTTGATTCGGTGGAGGTCATCGTCCGCCCCTGCTCTCTTCTTTGGAATCAGGCCCTCTTGGAGAGTGGAGAGGCGGCTGTACACATCATGCTCCAAACTTGACTGCAGATAGTGAAACAAGCACAAACTAAGCTGACAACGCTCAAGAAAGGAAATTGCTTGTCTATTGGCAGGATTACAGCCTTACGTTAATGAAGCGTGAACATTGTGAAGTCACTTTTTTTCTTTCTTTTTTTAATCAAGTGAGTGTCATGTCAAGATGCAAATCAACAAGCAGCCCTTCATTTCATCTTAATTGATTACATTTAGATATTTCAACGTCATGGACACAAACAAGTTTACAGGCCTTCTTTAAAAAACATGCTTTTTCTTCAACGCTTGGAAAAATAACCCACATAGGAAGTTGGTAGACAAAAAAAAAAAAATACTATACATCCAACTTCTCCAAAAGCTTGTTGAATTTAAATCGGTACACAGCCAGGAACTTCCACCTGTATTCAAGCGGATCGTATGGATGGATTTTATTATTTAATAATTTCTTTAGGAATAACTGTTACTTATCCAGCCAATATTTCACTAACACTTGTTTTTTCAACAAAATAATTAAACGGCAAATGGGAGACAGGAATTTCCAGTTTTGGAAAAATCTGAAAGTTTTTTGAGCTGGACAGCTAAATCATTTTTAGATGAACAGAGAGAGATTTGCAGCCGAAAGAAAACCCAGCCATCACTCACCAATTGGCGGAGCTGTGCAGCACACAAGTGGATTTTCCAACCTTGTGCTCTGCATGCCACTCCTCTCTGATTGGCCATGTCCTGCAGGGAGCCCTTCTTCTCCTCTGAGAACAACACAGAAAACGTATTTCAAATTGCCACTTGTTTTACGAAATACACACATTTGTCTGAATATGCGATTCTCACCTTTAACCCGAATGTCGCTGTATCGCTGGAAGTGGTGGTAAGCAGCCTTCCAGGGGTTACGGTAGTGGCGCAAAAGGGTAACGGGTGGGCGAGGCCGGACCGGCACATATCGCACTCCTTCTTCATCTGGAAGTCAAAAACAAGGGTTGAAAACGTGGCAACGGCTGATAAATCACGCTGCAAACTACGAGAGTGGGTAAAAAAGGGCATACCGACGTATTCCCTTGGTGGCGATTCCCGTCTCTCTGCCCTGCTTGTGATAGGCCTCCCCGGGGCCTTTTCTTCATCTGTGCTGTTGGTTTCCACCATTTCACTCTCCTCGGTGGAGATGACGTGCTGCTGTTTTCGGGGCTTCTTCCTCGGGGACGCCCCGGGGATGAGGTCACCTGTCGTGGGAGCATTCAGCGTGGAAGCCTGGCTGGTGAGGGCCGGCGCCGATGACAGACCTGCAATTGGATCTGTGTGAATGCACGCCTTGCTTATTTGCGGCGCATGCTTTCGTCCATTTCGGGACGCCCGACGCGACAAACGCGGCCCTTACCTGGCTGGGAGGTGTCCATCGTCTCGGCCTCCTGCTTGATTTTCACATCCGGGCAGGCGGAGCTGGCAGCGCATGCCGCGGTGCTACTGGCTGCGGGCTGAGTGGGGGACGCCACGGTGTTGGCCATTGAAGCAGGAACGGGGGGGGTCACAGCCATGGCCGCAGGCAGGGAGGAGAGAACGGTGGAGGGCTGGGAGGGGGGCACGGGCCCGGGCGTGGCGAGCATGGTGGGGATGGCTTGAGCCAGGTGCTGAGGGTTGGAGGCCACCGCCTGCTGCTCTCCTCCCTGATTGGGCAACGCTTCGACCGTGGCCATCACAGGGGGGGCCACAGCCATGTGCAACTCCGCCTTGGGTTTTAAACTGAGAAAGAATGAAACGTTTGAGCGCACAGATCTGTACCAGAACAGAATGTGAACACAGAGGTGACGCATGCTCACCCTGGTGGCCTGGGAGATCCGGCCACTCGTACACCACTCTCGATTCTGCCGGTGCTGGAATCATTGGGTTGGGCGGTGATCAGATTTTTACGGACACACCTACAGCACCAATACACAATTAGGATAATTGACAACAGGAAATTCTCAATTGTTGATTTTTTATAAAATGTCCTTGGATGGTCTACAAGTGAATTTAAACAGAACAGAATGTTGTTTTTAAAATAGAAAAAAAACCCAAATAGAATCCAAGTTCTTTCTTTTTATATTGAAAATACTATCTCCTTTTTTTTCCTGTTCTCATTAGTAAACATCTTCAGTGTGAACTGAGGTCGTTAAGCCGAAATGTATGCGTTTTAGGTGAAATTAGCTGAAACAGTAGGATCAAAGCGGAGAGAATGAGAAGACGTCAGAGTTAAAAAAGGTTGTGGCACTCGTGCGATGTGTCAAACCCACGCTTCATTAGCAGGCTTCTTGCGGAGGATGCTAGGGCGGGGAGATGATACCAGTGTTGGAGCGCCCCCCACTCCTCCCTGGCTGTGGGCCTGCACCATGGTGGCCACTGGCTGGGTTGTACCGAATGTGCTGCTAATGGGGCTCGCTACAAATCCATCAGCCAATACGACCCCTGAAACAAGCAAAAAAAAAAAAAACTCAAGTAAACGTGGTCGAGAAGGGGCCGTTTTGAGGTTCTATAAATACCAGGCTTCGCCTCAGACTGCGTTTGCTGCTGCTGCTGAGTGACAATCGGCGTCTGCTGTATTCCTTGTGTGGTCATCGGGGCAGGCGTATGCAGGCCCTGAACCCCTATTTGACCGGGCTGTATGCCCTGTGCAGCGATCGGGGGTGGCTGGATCCCCTGGGTGCTGATCTGAGCAGAGGGGAGACCAATCCGATCCACTGCCATCAGCTGCATATGGTTTAGGTGGACAGTGGTGGCCACGCCCACCCCAGCCTGAGTTGGCAGTGCTGAACTCGGCGCTTGAGGGGTGACTGAGGAAAGAATAATAACGTTTATCAGAACAGCTTATTTCTGTTTGTTTCATGTGTTTGCCTAAATGAGAATTTGCAGCTTGACAAATGGCTTGATAGCTCCTACCTGGATATTGGCGGATGGTGGAGACGGAGCTGCTGATGGGGGTGTAGGTGTGCGTCAGAGGATACGATGAGGAGTACGTCGGTAAGAAATACTGGAACTGAACCGGTACTGAGGGTCTTAAAGAGACAGAAGATTAACACAAGGTCAGTGTTTGGATGAGACAGGATCACTACTGTAATGTGCTGTAAAAATTCCACTAGACATACGTTCTTTTTTAAAGAAGATTTGTCTTCTAATAATCTGATACATCACGAGAATGAACCCTTATGTTGGAATTTCTTAATGTTATATTTTCAGTAAGTCACAAGAAACAGGATGGACCACCATTCCATTTTCATATGGAAAATATATTTTTTGCCTGTATTATTTATTACAGTTCTGGCAATTCTGTCACTTTCAACCAGTCCAAAAATAGGATTACAATTTTAATTCTGTATATTGATGGCAAACCCCTAAAAAAGCAGGATGCTGCAGGATGTCCAAGTTTAGTTGAAGTGGATACCCATTTATTTATAAATGTTAAAACTGAAACAATTGAAACAATTTTTGCAAACATTTCTAAGAAAAAAATACAGAAACACACAATGTAGATTTAAAGGTTATGGTAAGCTCATATTAAAAACAGACTTGGAAGAAAGAATTTTTAAACAAAAAAAAAAATATATACTTTATAATCATAGTTAATTTCGTAAACACAAGCACGACCAACGAGACACACTTAACATACCAATGTTTTTGCTCTCACCTGTTGTCATTTCTGGCTTCCATGGTTACAGGATTGGGAGAGGACCTGTGGCCTGGGATGGGGATGAGGTTGGCTCTCTCTCCTGGGTAGTCAGGCTGAACGCGGGATGAAGAATGGGCGATTGGTTGAGGGACCACTTTAGCTGTAAATGGCAACACAGGATGCTTAAATTCAAGATCTCAGTACAGTTTTGAAAAAGGTTAGAAGGGGGATCAACTTACCAACAGGGATGGCAGAGGTGGTCACTGCTGTGGCGTGAGAAGAGTGTGAGGCCATTGCCATGGTGACAATAGTGCTACTGGTCATTTGGGTATGTGGCACAGTGCCTAAACATTAGTTGGAACAAAAATAAAAATTACATTACTGCAAAATGCCCAATCTGTTTAGGCCTGTTGGCACGACAAAATTGTGTAACTTGATGCAGGGTTAATAAATAAAAAGCCAGTACCTATCGTGGTTGTTGATGGCACAGTGTTTGTGGCAACAATGGGTGCCACAGTTGCTGCAGCTACTGGTGTCACAGTACTAAAGATTGGCTTCTGTTTGGAAGAACGAAACATGATATTAGACACTGCTTCAAACTGGTAGCGTACATGTTGGTATTATTAAGCAGTCACCTGTGCCATGGTGTGTGGAGCCTGGGGTTTTTGAGCTCCAATAGCAGGGTGTGATGGCAGAGTGATCCGTGTAGCAGTGTCACGGGTGGTCTGAGGCCTCTGAATGCTGACAGTAGCAGAAGGGGGATGAATAGTCAGCGCTGGACGCCTTAACAAGGACAAACTCAAGTGAGGAAATTGGCAGAAGCAGGATGTGTACAGAGAGCCATTAAAGTTTTCAAACCAAAAAGAGCTTTTCCTAACTTTGAAAATGTCACACTAATCAAATATTTGATGCTGACATTGACCGCTTACCCATGCGCCACCTCAGAGTGAGTCACTGTTGGACTGATAACTGGAGACTGAGTTCTAGTCGCTGAAATGGGGGCCACCACAGTTGGAAGCACAGCGGTTGAGGTTGTTATGGGAGGGCGCGACTGTGAACAGAGAATTACAACAATATTACAAAAGAAAATTCTTCACGGCAAAAAACTCCTGGTACATTAACATTTAAACACAATGAAGCACCTGGATAGTCTGGTGGATAATGTGCTGCACTGTAGGCTGGCCAGGACCTGCACTTGGGCCAGTGGCCGGCCGCAAGACTGTTTTAGAGCTTGACATGACCGCTGCTGCAGCAGCCCCTGCAAAGCACAGAAGACACTGATCAAGAAAAAGTGCTCTGCAAAAAGAGGAAGGGGCACAAAGGCCTGTTTAAAGAACACTCAGGCCAATCCTGCCATGCTCGCTTGATTACATTATTCATACCTCGAGGTAAATGCGATGTGAAAGTCTGAGGAGGAACAGCAGGGGCCCCAAGTTGTCCCCTGATAATTTGGATGTTGGCAGGCATCAGGTGGTGCAAGTTGCTGGAGTGACCCTAAGACAACAGAAAAACAGAAGAGTTCTTTATTAATAAACAAAAAACAAAAAAAAGAGAGACAAAATGCAGACGCAAGTCATGTACTGCGCTCTCACCTGCTGCCCACTGATGGTAGCCACAGGGATAGAAGGTGTGGCAGCAATGGTGCTCTCAATGGGAACAGCAATGTGGCCAGGGACCTTGGGAGGTATGGGAATATGGGCCTGGTTGGAAGCTGGTGCCGGAGCAATAAGACGACTTGGCATCGGTGACTTCAAAACAGCCTAAAAAACAGAAAACAAAGTAGTGTTTTTAAGTGCCTGAAGAATGTCAAAGTTGATCCATCATTGAGGATACAGTTCACAGTAGGCAGATAATACCGAATCCAAACTGAAGTGAAAATCTGGGATTTTAGAGGAGGAATTTGGCATAAGCTGTATTCTTATCAAAGCTTATGGCAAATCTTATTGGTGAGATGGTTATTAACAAATTGTTCAGAGATTGATAGAATTTTCACTCAACAAAAAAAACTAAATTCGGGATTATTTACAAATAAAGTGGACAATTTACTTTACTGACTAAATTTAAAATTGCATGGAATGTCTAAACTACCCAGAATTTATCAAAATTTAATAAAATACAACCTACAATGAAGGGTCAAAAAGTAAAAAGACTGTTTAATCAGTTAAGACAAAAAAAAGTGAATGTCTCAAGTTTTGTTGAAATAAAAAAGAATCATTAAATTCTACAGAAGCTTAAATCTTTCTGTACATATCATAAATTTAACTTACTGCACAAGTCTATAATAATTTAAAAATGTCAACAAGCCTGTGGAAGTGCTCACATCACATGAAGAGCGAGAGGCTAAAATCATGCAAAAAGCGCTTGAGTAGAATAATTGTTTTAATGTTGCAAGTGTAAACAAAAAATAAAATGATTTTCACCTTCATCTGTCCCTCTGTGAGTACTGCCGGCTGTCCCTGTGGGAGGTGGACAGAGGGTGCAGGTACGGTCACAGGTGTGCCAGGCTGGATGGACACAGTTTGGGGAGCAGCTTGCGGCTGCCCGTGCGCCTGCACTTGGGGGTAAGGTCTGACTACCATGGTCTCCTGCTTGTCATCCCTGAATGCCAAGGTTCCCCCACCTCCTGTAGGTGGGTGATCTTGTTGACCATGGTCCGCTTCACGATTACTGCCTCCTTCTGCACCCGCTGCTGGAACGAAAGATTGCATGTCAATCTGCAGTGTTGCTCCTCTTACAATAAGCATCCTGGGAGTGACTAAAGTGACAACAGTTTACCTGATGTGTTGGATGGCTGATTGACAGGCACCAGGTTTGCTGTAGTAGGGATCTGAGGTGCTCCCCCGCTGGAGGCAGGCAGTGCGTGTCGGGGGAATTGTTGTGAGCTCATTTTAGCTATTCCGGAGATAAAGAGTTAAACCGAACATTTATTCAAAGGCCAGACAACACAAGTCGTTAAAGTGAGTAAGCAACATCCCTTGCATTAAACATGTACGGAGACCGAAACGTGTAACACCCACCGATTTATACGCGCGAGGACACACAACATGCTAACGGAGAGCTGCGGAATAACAGCGTAAGCAGCTAACAAATAGCTAGTAATTCAAATAAGTCGATATTGCTTCATTCGATAAACATAATTGTAAAATTATCAATGGCATGGGAGAAAGACAAGGGGGGGACGTTTTACGCATCTTTATAATACATTGTATTGTCATTATTTGGCAAAACTCATCGACACGACAAAGCTTGCAAAGTGTTGAGTTGACTTGCAAGTACAGAAACCGCTTTACGGTCCACGTCAAAAGTACAAAACACAATCTCAATCCTCTCAATGGTCACTGTATTTTGTTCCGCAACATTAAATCTAAAGGGCTACCCTGTTGGCTAGCTGTCTTAGCTAGCGGCAAGCTAATGTTACAGTCGCTAACCTGATGCCGCCTGCTTTTCATTTTGTAGTCTCGAGTTTCTAAATAGCACAATTCCCGAAACTTCATACGACTAAACAAACAAATTAACATGTATCTGAGTTAATGCACACATTACCGTATTTCTAAAAAAAACTAAGAAATTGTCGCTCTGTGGATTACAATTTTTTCCATTCGTCTTTTCTTTTTTCCAACATGTAAGCCGGAAGAACGTTCAGAGATAACCGAAGCCCTTTGCTTCTTTCCGCCAATCAGAGAAAGTACTGCGAGACCGCAAACCAATCAGATGTGTGAAAACGCTCTGGCCAACCCAGAGTTACTGCCGAACCAACCCAGAGCCGTTGGCAGTGAACCAGCATAAACCTGCTCCAGAGGAGGGGAGAAACTCGAGGGACCACTCCGAATTGCAAACAGCAGGATCACGTGGTCAAGTGGGAGGAAGTATTCAGAACAGCAACCTGCTATTGGAGCATTTACAACCAGCTGACCGCTGCATTGTTTTTATGCTACAATCCTTTACACACAACAGGCTTTAAAAACTCTCACTCTTTTGTCGATGTATGAAATAAAAGTATATATTGTTTCTGAGTCATTATAATGATGTACTGCATACTTATCATCACAGTGTGATTACGATTCATGTCTATCCTTTTCTCTCAATTTGGAGGGGTTATAGAGATCTTAAAAGGAGTTTAGACATTATAATTTTTACCAGAATATCGCATTTAATTAACTCCTAAAGGTGTGACACATTAATTTTGAAGGTATGACAGTTACTTAAATTCCTCTTTTAAATATTTGGCATTTTAGTAAGAGAGGAAAATAAGACCCCTCATTCTCTTAGTGCTCTCAACCAATCCAACACTTTTTGCCCAAATCCCTTACGCATAGGAAGACTTTTGTCTATGCATAATAAAAGCTTTGCCCTGACATTCTGCCAAAGTACAGTTTTACTGCACAGGCAACTACAATTCATAAACGGAAACACTAGAGGGCAGAAGGCCCTCACAAAAAATGCCCAGGAATCATTCATCAGTAAGTTCATTTTGACCTGGAGGTCGACTTAGTGCAGAAGGGTGACATCTCATTGAGAGTAAAGAATACCTCGGCATTGGTCAGTCTGATGTTTTGATAACCTTCTGTACGAGCTAGCAACACTTGCTAACAATCAAAATTCTCTCTTGTTTGTGCAGAATTATATCTAATTGGTAGAAGTGAACAATGCAGCTTCAAGTTTACACAATATTTCAATACCACTAAATTATATTATATATATATACATATATATACTTCAACAACAATCTACTTAAACAATTAGATTTTGTGCAGATGCATCTGTCCAGAAAAGCAGTGCTTTTGCATTTTTTAAAAACAACAATGGCCAATTGAGAAAATATGGGGAGATACGTCTTTTAGAATTAAGAATCTGTTGTGAATGCTGTGCATCCAAACCCATGGCTTTTACACCATCAACTTAACTTGTGGTCTAGCGACAGAGGTTACTTTTTGTCCATGGGCAAAGCAATACACTGCTATTCAGAAGAGGCAATAGTCCCTGTTGATTTGCTAAGGATTTCTAAGGACTTGTATATACACATAACAGCATTAAGCAGCTTCTAGAGTTTACATCATTGTGTGCCAAGGCTCCTTCTGCTGTCTCATCTGCCTCTTATTTGCAGCAAACATGCATCTTTTTCAATGCAATTTAGATTACATAAAAACCAAATGCTTTTGAATACACAAATTAAACAAATTATGTTGTGCCTGTGTCTTGCAATAACTTCCAAAAAATATCAAACAACTTACTGCCAACTTATAATCCTCTCACATTACCAGAACGAATATTACTCTCACTTTCACTGGTTTCTGGTGATTTTTTTTAACTGGTAAAATTAGATGTGACCATGGTTATTTCAGAGGGGATATCATCTATCCTTTTACAAAAATTTGAAGCTGAAATCTCACTTCAAGCTCAGACGATGACCAACTGGAAAGACGTTCTTTCCAAACAACCAAAAAATAGTCAAAATCTTTATTTGTTCAATGCAATATTGTTTTTGTTTTTTTTAAATGACAGAGAAATAATACAAAAAAATGTCTGCTATGGCTAAAAAAAAAAAAATTGAAGTCTGGAATTCGGTTATTCAATTTATTCAAGCTACTTTGTATATGCTGCTTTTACCACCGTTGATAAATTATTATACCGATTAGTCAAGGTAAAAAATGTTCAAAAGGAGATTAATTCTACTCTTGCTTTGGTATCAGTGAAAATATTCAGGTATCTTTGAATTAGTGATATCTAAGTTCATCAGTAACATACACCTGGGCCATAAAGAGTCATTCTTGCATGATGAGGCATGCAAACTGAATTCCCCAGCATTGCTCACTGGCATCCACCTGTTGGTATGTTGCTTTAACTTTGGGCTTGTGAAAACTTCATAACAATCGTTTTTTTGGATCTCACTGCTGATTAGCTAAGAAAATAATGCGGGTTGTTTTGTAAAGTAGAAGTCAAGGAATTTTCATTTCCCACAGAAGTGATGATCATGAGAATATCTTATTCATTTTGCTAGAAAGGCTATGAATAGAGAGGTAATGGCCCATTAAAGTCATGTCTCTTAATCATGATTTGACTCAATATGTGTTCTTTTTTTATTTGACATGATCGCCCTTTGGCTTATTTTATTACCTCATTTCCCGGAATTTGACATTTGATCAAAGGTACTTTAATTGTCAATCTTCAGATTTTGATCTTGACCACAGACTCTGATACCACAATCTTCAATTAGCTTAAAGGTTACCCTCTTTGACACGTCACTCTGTGTTGCTCCAGACACACATCATTTAGAGACAGCTCTTCTTTCTTCTCAGAAGGTGAATCAGGCTCCCAGTGGTAGTTGATTCACTGGAAACCACAGGAACACCCAATCTCTAACCAGAGAAACAGCCGTTCAAGCTCAACACGAATCATAAAAGAAACTGTTTTATACTACATATATTTAGTATAAAACCAGAAAAGTCTAATGAAAGTCTAGACAAAACATTTGTTATTGATTACTGTTCTGACTAACTTAAGACATGTTGGTTTAATCATTTTTCTTGTGCACCCAAAAAACAAACACCAGAGTGGAGTTGAATTCATGATATACAGAAAAGCATGCTGTAACATATAAACTCAAGAAAGCAAATTCCTCTGCAATCCCTCTGAATTCCAAATAATGGAGGGTGGAGACAGTGGCTTTCGTTACTGTCTCTGTGTGTTGTAACCTTCAAACAATTTAATGATAAATCATAGTAATTAGTTAATCACAAACTATGTAAAAAGAGCCATGATGAAGATCATGTAAGTGACAGAGGCAGTAGTAGATTCAAACGTCTTGAAAGTGTAATGCAACACAATATTTCTTTAAACTTTTAAAAGTACCGGTATATTTTTTCACTCACTTCTGAGTGATACATATAATTACTTAAAGAGTGATAAAACATTGCCATTGAAGGTTTCCCTGTCTTTAGCTTGGTTCTTTGTAGGATTGTTTTTTATTCGCTTGAACAAAAGAGGTCAGAGACAGTGAACTACAGTACAAACGCAATTAGCAGGTGTATAATGGGAAACTGCGAAGACAACTGTGTCTTTTTAAAAGGATGAGCCAAAGATAGAAACATCTGCTGGCACTTATCCTACTCAACCCTTAGTATTTTGTCCATCAGAATCCGATTACGCACTGCAGTGCACAGTTTGTTATGTTGAGTGATGGAGGGCGCACCTGCTTTCAATGGATGAGAAGCACACCTAAGAAAAGTTGACAGTGTGTCATACAGATAACAAAGGTTAGCAGGTTCAGATTCTAAATGCTGCATTCTTAGAATTACTAATTAATCTAACGTGCTTTTCTCTTAGCTGTGGGGGAAAGTTAAGTCTCCAGATATCACTATGCAGGTGCAGAGAGAATGCGAAAATGTCATCCAGAAAGCCCTCAGTCTTTTGAATGTCTTGACATACAGTAGGAAGGGTCTTGATTTCAAACAACAGTCCAAAACCACAATTAAAAGATGTAATTATTCTTGTAATAAACAATAAACAATTACAGTCAGTTGATCTTACTTGACGACACTTTGTATGATTTTATAAGAAAAAAGATGAGGCAAAGAATCAAAACAGGTGTGGTGCTCTTCTTCCAGCTGCTAAACTATTCATACATGAAATATCTTTTGCCTTGCTAGCCACACAAGTGTCCCAGTTGAAACGGTTTCAAAGTTTACAACCTACTATGTATGTTTCACATCTTCCAAGTAACAGCCCTAAATAAGATGACTTTGCCCTGATTTATGTGGAAAAGTTGGGGAATAGGGGAAACATTCCATAAATGCTGTAGGCAGGAAGTTGTGGAATCTCCATGGAAATTAAGGCAAAACACATAGCTCCACAGTCATGGTTCCAAGTGTTTCACACAGGCTTTGGATGTAAATTATGATTAAAAGCTTCCAACATGCGTCATTTGATTTGTTACTGTCATCTCTATATCTGCCATTGATTTCATAATACATTATGATCCAAATGGTGCACCCCTAAAAAAGAACAAGTTCATTTAATTTACATCTGTTCTTCATCCATATGACTGTTGTTATGGTAAAGTGAGAACTGCGCACACCTTGCCAGGGGTCAAAACTGATTTTAAAATATGACAAGTGCATCAGAGCTGACATGGGTTGCAGTAATTTAAGCAGATGTCCAGATGTGTGTGGAATGCAAGCGCGTTTATTGAATTTTTCTTCATCTGGGCTGGACAACGATTACTTTAGGACCCATGAGATTTCTTCAGGAATGAACCCCCATACTGTGAAGTGATTCAAACTTGACAGTGTCTGGAGTCACGTAATCCTAACCCCTTCAGGGATGCCCCTGCCACACACACACATGTACACACACTGTCAAGTCTCACGCAGTTAGGTGGGAGCTTGTACTTTACATGTACGGACTTCAGGGGCAGTGGGAAATATCTGAAATGCGATCTGTGTGAACACAGATGGGACCAAAATAATGGTATATCACAGACACTGTGGTGCCACATGTGTCCCAGCTGAAAATGGTATCCAGCAGATGCAGATTTATTACTTCTGCTTTTCTCAGCTGAGAAAAGTGGCACTTGGCTACAAGAAAAGGCAGCCAAAGGAAAATGCGTGGCATCTGTGGAATGCCATTCCAAGCTTATAGGGAACAAGGAAGGGGAAAATATTTACTCTGAAAGCCAAAGATTACAGATGAAGTTTTGTTTTGTGACAGCTTTAAAAAAACACACAATGGTAGAAAACAGATGTTTCTGAGAAACTTTGACAACTTGAATTATTTATTCCTTATGGGTTCAGGGTGAATATTCTAAAGAAACTCAGATTAAGTGAAAACACATCTGATGATTGCCAAAAGCTTAAAGGTATCCACCTGGGGAATCTTCTTAAACAGACATATGATCTGTTGGACATGAAAAATTGCGCTGCACTGAATGAGAATTGAAAACGGCTGCAATTCAGGGGGGAAAGCGAGTGTGCACCATTCAGAAAGTCAGAGGTTTGAGCCCCAGCTTCCCTGGACAACATTTCAAGTGGCCCTTTGGCAACACACTGAGCCCCTCATTTACTTGAAACTGTTCACTGGAGTGTGACTGTGTGTAAAAGGACGTTAAGTGCTCAACAAGCATGAGAAGAGCAGAAAAGAAAGTCACATAACACCAGTGGTAACTGCTTGGACAGTCCCTCTTTAAACACAATTACTCGACATTAGTAGGTACTGGGTTTCTGTGAGTTATATATCTATAATTCCACCCATGGATGTCATTTTGAAATAAACGAGTAATTTAACAGAAAAGCAGATAGAATTTTGTACTCTGTAAGATTTAGAAGTTGAGATTATTAAAAAGTTACATAACAGAAATATGCTATTAGCTAGCTAGTCTAAAACCATAAATGGTCTGCACCAATTTTTATGGGATTGTATTTTTTGTCTGTTAAATTCTTTTATCCCAATGCTTGCGTGTTACTTTTCTGTGCATTGCTCTAATTGTAATTCAAAACAGTGGATCACTTTCAATCTGAAAGTTGGTTATATACAACATTTCCTCAGTAAGATTGCAGAAAATCAAATCAAAGAACATTTGCCAGACATATATTAAGAATTTTAATCTATTATTGTAAAATTACAAGGCATAGATAGAAATGCTTCCTTTATAAAAGTTCACAGCAATATCAAATTGGGTCAACCAGCTGAAGCAAGGCACCTTAACAGAGCCTCTTGTATTATAACTTAAACACAGAGTACATCTTTGGCACCAGAAACAATGACTGATATATAAAATAAATGAAAAACAAAATATATTAACTTCTCTCACTTCAAATAGCCATTCGTTTCAACAACATTCCACAATAAATGACTACCAGTAACTTAGACTAAAATGTGGCTCTGACCAGCAGATGCTCGGTGATGGCCAAATATGAACACGGTTGAGGAGAAACACCAATTAGATATGAGGTTTCACTTTCTATGTAATCTGAGAATACAATTTTCTATTGATAAATGTTTTTTTTAACATCATAAAACGTCATTGATTTACTGCATCACAGCACATGAGGTTTCTTGAAAATCCACATATGTTGGAATCGTAGAGGAAAAGCAGAGCGGAGCAAATTCCAGTAAAATGCAAAGCACATTCCTTGAAAACAGTAGTCTACAGTCAGCAGTGCTCAGTAATCCTACATTAAGGAAGGCGAAATAAATAGAAAATTCCATGTAAGTATATAGTCAACCCAGCAATGTGACTAATACACAGCTGAACATAAGACAAGAAATTAATCTGGGAAATGCAGGCCAATTATAGTTGATCATTTCTGTGCTAATGGTAGAACCAGCTACCATGAGAAGAAATAACTGGTCCAAGAAAAGGAATCACGTGGAGAATGCATGTCATTTTAACAAGGCCGAGGGGTCAGACTTTAGATAGCCTTTTTCTTTAACTGGAGCATTCCCTCAGCAAGGAATGTGAGAAGATTAGCTCCAGTGTGTCAACGGAGGGGAGTGAAATGTTGGGCAGTCGCCATTTGAGGCCTAGAACATTAACCCGGGATCTGGAAAATTGGACCCCAGTGAAACGCCATCAATCCTCACAGGCTTTTTTAAGAGAGAAATGGGCTGGCATTCTGCAGCTCCACATTCAAAGGAAGTTTCCAAATCCTCAACTGAGTCATGAGCAAAGGGGCCCCAAATGTATTTTAAATAGAGGAACAACTGTTAATCTAAGTTTGCACTATCTGGTGAAACAGAATATTCCTCATACATGACTTAAAACATAAAGCAGACTTATTTTGACTATCATAAATATTCCCATTACTTTTAAAGGGTGTGGTTTGTGGATGCTACAGTAAATTCAAGATAAATCAAACAAAACACAGACCAACTATGTAGGTAAACCCCCCAAAAATTAAACATTTGTGGATCATTTAGATGTGGAGCACTCATGAGTCACCTCTCAAACAGAAAAAAAAGTCACGTCACAATATGAGCAGCAATAACGAGTACAAAGACAGTTCACATCCAATCACAAATAACATGCAAAATCAGCAGCCCAGTTCCTTTCATAGTTTAAAATACTGTCCAGGTACCTTGGAGAATTTCCACTATCCATTTAACAAATGTGCAGAAAAAGTAGAAAAATGGCTCAGCTCCTCAAATCAAACCAAGCCGCACACTTGACTCTGCACATTGTTTTAAGCCAGATGTCGACGGAGATCTTGAACATCTCTGAAAAATGTTTCTTTCCCCGTTCAGCTAGTTGAGCTGCAGTGAAAGCTCAAATGAGGATTTCAATGGCCTCTGAATCTGAGCTGTCCATACTCTTCGGCATCTTGACCATCGCTTTTGACTCCTCCGAGACATCTACATGTAAAGAAAAGGTTGATATGTTAAATACAATACCGCAATACAACACTTGTATAGTAGGCTGCGAAGTGGGGATATGAAATAACTCACAATACACAAAAAAAACACCCACCAGTAGAATCTGTGGACATCCCCTTAGACGGCTTTATTTTACTGGGCTCTGCAATGACCTCACCATCCTGTGGGGCGTCATCACTTTGAGTACTAGAGGTGCTTTTGGGTGCTCCATATGGGCCCTTGGCAGCAACAAAAGATGGGGGTTTCAGCACAACAGCACCTGTCTGGTCATCTGAGAGGCTCTTTCCTAGAAACAAGGACAAAAAGAGGACAGCGTTTAATTACCCCCTTTACATTCACAATAGCACACTATGGAACATCTGTACAACGGAGTTTTTCCCATGACTATTCTGGATCAGGCTATTCTGGCGTGCAAGACGATATGCATTCCAGTTTAAAAACAAGTTGTCTATTTGAGTCGTCGCCCACTCCCAACTTTTTCAAGTTTTTTTTTTAAGGATGCACACATTCTGTCTGGCGCCAACTGTTACACCAGTTGTTACTTGGTAGCACGCCAAATTAAAGATTCAAGCTTCCTTATTGGGGCCTGAATAGAAAGGGAACAAAGCTCACCTTTGCACTCTATGCTTTTGGCCACAGTGTTGATGGTGGGGACGGATCGAGCTGGTCGAAGCCCTTGTTTCTCCAGGCTGCTCTGTTCCCATTTGGAGCGCTGCTGGAGTACTTTGATCACAGCATCCTTTTCCAGAAGGTGCGCATGAAGAACCCGGATCCTGAATAAGCGAAGAACTTTGTGAATCCATGAATTCTTCGAAAAAACAGTCGTACACGGGCATCAAATGCTATGAAAGATATAAAAAAAGAGGATTACCTGTTCTCCATTTCCTGGTGCCTCTGATTTGACGATGGCAGATCTTCGTTGAAACTGCTGTTTGGTGAATGTCTGGGCGAATGGTTGATGATGGTTGTATCTCTGAAAACAAAACAGACCACTGTTAATGGACTGAATCCCCGAAGGTTAACAAGCACTTCATTTTATCTTTGATGCAACGGCACCATTTCGCCGTACCTCTCTGTTGCCGCGGTGGCAGCGGCATCCATAGCAAACTGCCTCATGGTGCTCTCCTCCAGGTACTTTTGCTCCCACTTAGTGATGTCTGCCTCAAGGGCCAGTATGCGCTCCTCTTTTTCCCTCAGCTGCTGCTGTTGCGTAGACGAGCTAAGTTCCGAGGCTGTGAGATCAGCCGTCTGGTTCTGGCACTGAGGAAAGACACAGCACTGTGATTAACCACAAAGGGGGAAATCGTTTCACATATTTGCAGACATGGGTAAAACCCGACTGTAGATGCTGTCTATGACTGCAGACCTGCGTGTGTCTTATGCAAGTAGACACAACTTGAATTTGAATAGCTGCATATGAGCAAGTCTAATCAAACTTAATACATGCAAGCAAGTCCTTTTTCTAGGAAATTCTGCAATGTGAAAAAAGCAGTTTTATACATTACTTACTATATAAATATAGTATAGTAAATATAGTATAGTATATAATAGTATATAAATATGATATGTGCTAATATTTTTAGCTTTTCCAGAGTATGAAAAAGAATTTAAGACTATGTTAATTGATTTTAGTTTGTATTCCAAGCTAAGACTTCTCCAATGAAATGAGAGCCACATGCTAAACTGGCGTTGCCCAAACTCTTCATTTAAGCAGAAGATTTAACACTGAATTTTTCCAACCTGTTGTGCCCGGAGGCTTTTCAGTTCCTGCTCGAGCCGGGTGCGCAGCCGCAGTTCCAGCACCTCCCTCTTCTCGCACGCCGCCTGCAGCTGAGCCAGTGCGTTCTGGAGGCGCTCCACTTTCTTTACGTAGGCTCGTTTTCTCAGCAGCTCTTCCTCCAGCTGCCGGTTGCGGGTCTGCGCCGAGGCCAGGGCTCGCTCCAGCAGCTCCCGCCTCCGCTGGCATTCCTCCCCGGACGCGCGCAGATGCTGAATCTGCTTCTCCAGACGTTCCCGCTCCCGCTGCTGCTCTTCGTCTGAGAAACGGAGGGATTGAAAACAATTAAGGCAAATTCATGGAGGAAAGAGTGTGAAGTCAAACAATCAATGAGTCTGAAATGAGTCTGAAAAGTTATGCTCGAATCAAGACAATCTATGACGAACCTTTGGGGTTGCGTAAAGGAAAGTTTTTACAATTCATTTAGCCTTGCTCTGGGTCAATAGAGTGACTAAACAATCGTTGTGGACATTGGCATTTTCTTTGGAATGTTACCCAACAAGACACATTAATACCCATCCATCTATGAAAGAATTTTAGTCTATTTTCTCAACTTAAAAGTGACTTTCAAACAAGATTCGTCTCCTTTATTAGTGAAAAACTGATGCACACTTTAATGAGTCCTTTCTAGACAGTAAAGCCAGTTTACAGGGCTCTCCTGTGCCACTTTAAAGAAGGGGCAGATTACACAACACGAGTGCATGCCTGTGGAGGGAATGCAGACTTCCTCTTATCCACTTACGCACACAAGCATAGCTTTGTACTGCCAAAAGCTCTGGAATGCTTCTAAGGACGTCAAGTAAACAAGCAGCTCAAAATAAAGCTCAAGTGGTTCTAGACGATGAAGAAAAAAAAAAAAAAAACGTGGTAATGCATCTGTTTTGGTAGGATAACTGCTGGAAGGAAAAATATCAATAATTTGTTGGCTCTCGGCAATTACAAGCAAAGCTACTGCGACTGATTCTTAATATAATACAAAAGAAACACTTATCCCATTAATAACTGTATCTAGCAGGGAGCTTAACCATGCACAGAAATAAAAAGAATGAATTTTTCATAACCAGTCAACCATCATTAAGCCAAGGGGTAAAGAAATGACCAAACAAGGAGAAGGAGCTAACTGCTTTAAGGTCAGGATGCCCCGGAGTCCCAGGCTTATTAGTTCCCCATGAGGAAGAAAGTCAGCAGTGATGCAAATCTCATAAGGATGGAGGGGCATGATATAACAGAAATACTCCAAAAAAATAAAATAAAATCCCTGGAATCCAGGTCACATTTACCACAGCTCAGAAAAGTGGCTGGCGTCTACATTCACATTAGAGAGCCCTTTGTGTGCTGAAATATTCCCTGTATCACAACACTGTAGGAGGAAACCAATCCCCGCTCAAGTATGTTCCTGCTATTGTCAAGTGCTTCCCAGGGAAGTCTGATGTAGCAAATCAGATCAGCAGTAATCTGTCAGAATTTATGGTGTGAGAAGTGCTTATTCTACAAAAGGCATAGGTAGACATCGACTCACTTTGCTCCAGGAGTTTGACAAAGACGTGCTGCTTGGGGTCTGCACACTCAGCTTCTTTTGCTGCCCTGTGTTTGTTAGCTGTGTCAAGTTGTTCTGTGAGGAGGGAAACAGAAGCAGGTTACACTCATGTATAAAAAGTTTAGAAAAGTAGATGGTGTTGCCTTAGCAGATAAGTGGACAAATACCTCTCAGGTCTCTGTTAAAGTCATGCATCCTCTTAATTTCTGCCTCCAGTTTATTCCTCATCGTTTTCTCCAGAGTCTCCCGCTTGACACAGCCTTTCATCAGGATCTCATAAGCCTCAGATATTCTTTGAATCTCAAGCTCCAACTGGGATTTTTTAAAAAGAAAAAAGTGAGAAGATCAGTCTCTTTCTGAGAATTACAATTCGCCGTCCGCTGTTTGGACTCGTCGCAGCAAATGTTTCCTATTTCCATTCACCTCTCACCTTCTGTAGCTTGGCGGCCTTCTCAGTATACACTTCCAGCTCTTTCCTAAGACGCGCATTCTCTTGCATCAGCATGGCGTTACCGTCAGAGGCCGCGGTGATGCTGTTGTGAGCCGCCTGTGACTGAGCAGACACATACCTGCTGTGGGCACAAGAGAGTGATTCATTAATACAATGGCGGAAAACCACAAGAAGTACTAAAAGCAAGCTCTGTGTCCACTCTGAGTGATTCTTAAAATAAGTTGCAATTCCACAATTGAATACCTGTGGTGCTGTGCGTAGAAGGGGGGAGGAGGCTCTCTGTGGTAACGCACATGCTCCTGAGAGTGGCTGAGCATGTATTCAGGGACCCTGGCGTAGAGAGGATAGTCCGGCGGTGGTCCACGCTGGTCTACACACTGTTGGGCTCCTTGGGCGTCATGTGCCAGAACACCTGAAGCATTATTGTTATACAGCTGCGGGTAACTGTGAGAGGAGCTCATGGTCAGACCACCCCCGTGTCCGTTTCTCTCCAGGGAAAGCTGCATCAACCTCTCGCTCAGAGAGCGAGCGTGCTCCCTCTTCAGGTCCCACTGAGCCTCGGCGTGGCTTTGCGTCGCATCCCCGCCGAGGCCCTCCTGCTCCGCCTGCTCCTTCTGGGAGATCAGGTACTGGGAGTGGGCTTTGGCCTCCTCATAGGTGGGCAGCTCCTCCCCGTGGAGCTGGTACAGGTGGCACGCGGGGCTCTCCGAGAGCAGGCCGTCTCCCTGGTGCTCCTGCCCCTGGGGCTCCTGCCGCGTGGACATCTGCATGTACTGGGTTTCCTCCTGGGTGAGGCTCTCCAGGGAGGAGCGGGGGCTGCCCGTGCCCCCCCCCGCCGCCGCTGCCTCCACGCAGGGCCTGCTGCTGGATGGCCAGAAGAGTGCGGGTGTCCGTCAGGTTGCCGTAACGGAGCTGCTCCTGGATGAGACGGTGCAGGACCGTTCCGGAGGAGTCTTCCGCAGTTCTCATTTCACCCAGAGGGAATTATTAAGTGTGAAGTTAAAGCAAAACCAAGCCTCGATGCTGCAGTGTGGCCACCTCACAAATCTAAAAAGAAGGGGGAAAAAAACAAACAATATTCTTAATCAAATAAACATACTTGTGTTACATGAATCTGATAAAAACTTAATAACTGCTGACAACATTCCTCACTGTGACGGTTTATCTCATTTTTTATCACTATAATAGGCTTTGTGGGAAGTGCTTTAGCTGTTGCTAGAAATATGCTTGGAAGGATTTCAACACGGATCCAGTTTTATTGCCCACACACTAGTCTGTGTAACCTCTTCCAGTCAGTTAGTGTATCATTCAACAAGCACACGCAGTTGTCCGGCAAAGGAAAAAACAACAACACACAAATCACAAAAAAAAAAAAAAAAAACTGGCAAAAATGTGTGGGGATTTCAAATGATTATGTTGAAGCAACCAGGGATTCAATTCAATTAGTGTATTACACATCGTTATTTGGGATTTTAAGAAAAAAAACAACAACAAAAACATGTGCTGTAAGCGTGCTTCAACTTTAAACGACATTTTAATCTAAACTGCGCCATGCGGGGAGCCGATGGCACCTCGGGTCAGATGGCATCTCCGTTGCAACACCAAAAGCTTTACGTTACACGTGCTAAAATAATTTTTAAAAAAGAGAACACTTACTACTTTCGAGTTGCATTACACGGCGAAGCGCGACGCAGCGTCTCCTCTGAAGATTCCCCTCGTTTATTATATGAAGATATCAGCGACTTTTTCCGGAGCTCATTCCCTCTCGCGGACATGTGCGCGCGCTGACGGAACGCGGGCAGCGAAAAAACTGAGCGGCGCGAGCAGCGAGCCGCTAATAAATAACTGAGAGGCGATTGTTCGCCGCGGCAGGAATGAGCGGAATGCGAAGGCTCCGAGTCCCTGTGGGATCAAAAGCAGGAGGAGGAGGAAGGGGAGGAGGAAGAACAGGGGAGGAGGTAAGGGGAGGGGTGTTAAAAGCCCAAACATTTGGTTTCATAGGAGCAACATTACCTCAGCTGGCTGCCTGTGTCATGTAGAAGTGGTCGTCGTATTTTTTGGGGGGTTTTCTTCTCTTTTTTGTGTGCCGTTTTGGGGAATTTTGCCTCTCAGCGGCTTCATAAAGTCTGTACAGTTTTTTTTACAGAGGCAGCATGGGTGTTTTAATGACACTGCAAAGGATAAAAAACTGTAGATAATAAGAAGCAGTTAAACTTTACGACCTCAGTGTCGTAAAATCTTTGCTGAAATTTTTCAAGAGTGAGGTATGAGTTGGACTTATAAGGGTTTGTGTTTGGGAAAAAAAGGAAAAGAATCAAGATATCAGCCTTACAGTTTATACAGTTTGATCTTGTTCTGGTTACAAACTATGGTGGTTTGTGTTTTTCACAAGGTTAAAGTCAATAAAAGGTCCCTAAATCATGGAAAACTATAGTTTCATAGTGATGTAGCTTCTTTCACGTCTCCAAAAATATTCAAAGCGCTTTTATTTGGTATTAAAAACAATAGAGAAGCTCTACATTACATACACTTCGTAAATCCCTCAAGTGAATTGCTTGTGGTCATATCAGTATCAATATAAAAAGTAAAAGAGTGAAAAACAGTGAAAGTTGATTCATTAGAGCCGTAAGGTATGGAAAAGTGGGGTTTTTTGTGTTATTTTTTTGCTTCATTGTAGAAATAGTAAATAAACTAACTTCAAAACAGGGATTTCATGACCTGAACACTAAGGTATTGTTGAAAAAATGCATACATACATCGTATTATTGAGATGGGTTGTTTTTTTTTCAACATTTTTTTTTGTTGTTTGTAAGGTCTCGGTAAATGTTTAAGCCGTGGCCCGTGCCATTTAATTACAGAGAGTGTGTGTCTGTGGACACGGTGGGAGAGAGGGCGGGTGCGAGGCGTGTTGCCTGCCAGCTGTCTGTGGACTCAAATCCCATTCCCCTCCTTTAATAAGAGCTCTAAGAGATGCATTGTTCTCCCCAAAAAGCAGACATGACGGGGGCAGCCCTGCCATCTGCTGTTCACCCCTCCACCACTAACATCAGCTCTTCATGCACAATCAAACCCTTGCATGTAGATGGAGACACTGGGATCAGCTGGTGGTGGGGGCTGGGCTTTGGCATTGAGCGCACTCTTTTTTTTTGTGCATGGAAATCATCATCCTAATGTGGTGGCTTAAGGTTGTGAGGAGGCAAACAAGTCTCTGCTTGTTAATGCAGTGCGGCCTTTCCAAACTGCAGGATACGTTATCGCACACATTCAAGTGTAAATCAACAAGTGAACTTGTCGATTTGCATGGCAGTTGAGGTCCAACCGTTGCTTAAGAATGTTGAGCAACTGATAGCAATCACCCCCGTACCACGTTATGGCTTAACTGGGTTGTAAAGAGGGTTTGTAATACCACTGTGTTGCTGTTGGACATGATGTTTCATTAAATTTTTATATCTGCCTCCCAGCTACAAAGTGAACATTTCAAACACTATTCTAGAAATGTTGGAATTTATTTTTTGGAATGGTGTTACCTACGTATTCTATTAGGTCCCTTGCCTGTGCTTCTCTTCCAAAGCAGAAAAGGTTTGAGAAAAATTACTTATTTTTACTCTGTATTTGTGTCTGTTAGTGTTAAATATGGTTTCAGACAAATTAAGCTATGAAAAGATTCCAAGCTCATAGTGAAGGAGGCAAACAGAATTAAACTTTAGTCCTACAAAAGACTATTTAAAGTTCCACATTTTCGTGTGATGTGCAATTTATGGTTTGCGACACTTTGCTTTGTAAACACATTCCATGAGACAATGTGGAACGAAACTATGACACGCTCCTCACATGTGAAAATGCTGACATTATATCAACAAAAAGGGGAACTTTTCTGTTTTACACTGAAGGCATCCATTTTTTAACGAGACATGAAAGACCATGACAGTGTGGGGGAATAAAGCAATCTTCTGGCTTTGTCAGACATTACCACAATGTAGTCTTGTAACTTGTTCCTTTGTGCTGGCAAATATGCATTGTTTCCACACTTTGACTATCATCCCACCAGACACAGTTAAGCATCAGATTTGACCTGCCACTCTGTCGCAGAGAAGGCTCAACTCTCCCCCCTTGATTAGGCAATGCGATAAGTGATAATGTTACTGTTCTGAGTCAAAATGAACCGTCTATCACAAGAAACCAAAAAACAATCAGCACGCATATGATATAAAAGTCATATCTAGTGCTTTGTAGATACATCTGTGTTGCTAACTCGCTGTACTCATTCTATTTTCCATATTAAAAATCCAGTACAAAATACAGAATACGTCTTTTCAAATGTCTAAAGAAGAGAAAAAAAGAGAATGAGTCATAGATTAGATCAATCCAATTACATTTGTTATATCATCCACCTGTGTTCATCCTGTTGTCCATACCTTACCCCAAAAACCAACATATGTTGGTCTTTTTTGTTCCTAAGAATCACACTCATTATCGACTTTATCATATTTCATGGATACACCCGGCATCAATGTGACCAAATTTGGTATCAAATAACGGAATGAGTGATTGTCTATGATTAATATCCATGGACATGATGTTACTTAAATGTGTTAGAAGATAAGTATTATCAGAATTTCATTTTTCCCTGGTGAACGTTACATTCTAGGGTGTTGCCTATCAGAAAATAAATTCAGCCTGACGTGAAAACACTTGGATCTGTAGATAGACGGGATGCTTATCAAAAGTTCAAAATATCTTTCAAATTTAGCACATGAGAATGTCAGTAGAATGTTTTTATGCATTTCCTTCTAATTTCCTGGAATGTCAAATCAATTTAAAATATTTATTTTTACCGCTTAAGTAATCTCCTCATTTTTAGACCATGGTGTGCTTGAACAACTGGTTGGTAATTTGAATGGTGTTGCCTATCAGAAAATAAAACTGTATTGCATGACATATGTGAAAACACTTGGATCTGTAGAAAGACAGGATGCTTATCAAAAGTTCAAAATATCTTTAAAATTTAGCACATGAGAATGGCAGTAGAATGTTTTTATTCATTCCCTTCTAATTTCCTGAAATGTCAAATCAATTTAAAATAAAAAATGTTAGCGCTTAACTAATCTCCTCATATTTAGACCATGGTGTGCTTGAACCACTGGTTGGTCATTTTAATTTATTTGCACGTTTTCTCCAGGAACAGTGTCTCTTGATAGTAACTGTGGTTAAAAGTTGTGGGGAAATACTATGATGAGGGAATGAGTGACATCTAAGACCAGCCATTTGAACCTGTTAGGAACAGCCTGGGCTGACTGGGCCAACACAATGCAGACTGTGAACTGGAAGCGCCATCCTTGTTACATGAGGTGGGAGAGGCAAGGCACTCCAGCAGCTTCTTTTGTTTCCTGCAAAGGAGGAAATGGCCGCATTCCTCACATTACCATGTGCATGGGCTCTGACTGAGCTTCCCGTCTGTTGTTTTACTGAGAATGTAAGGAGAGCAACTAACAGCTTGACAATATCTTTTAATGGGGGGGTTTCTTCTATGAATGACACTACAGTAACCCCAAACCACTTTTAAAGACAATAGCTATAAACGAATCCCCCAAAAATCCTTTACTCATTTGGAATTTCTCAAACTGAATACATAGATCAAAATGGTGTATTTATATGTACCTACCATGGCACTTCCAGGTGACATCTGAAAGTAGGATATATTTTAGACACCTTAAGTTTGCTTCCTCTCAATGTCTAAAAATGGTTTCCAAATGTCAGTGGCCATAATTTGGGCCATTTGACAAATTGAAGCGGAAAAACATTTACAAAAGTCTGCCTTGTTGCAGATCTGTCAAATAGGGGTCCCTTCCACATGTTGACACAACAAATTCCTCACATCACCATAAAAGTAAACAAGTGACAGCAAAGGTGAGGAAGTCTAAACAGGGCTACGCTTGTGGATGCCGCTGTCTACAGAAAAAGCAAAGATA